ATGTGGTAAAGGTCCATTGAAAAATGGCGAGTTCAAATCCTGCCAGGAACTGAAGTGTTTTTATATGTTACCTACGGGCAACGCTTTTTGGTGTTGGTTTTTTGTTACGGCTGGCTGTTACTGAGCTGAATTTGGAGTTCAGAGAAATTTGTTCAGAGAAATTATTGAAATTTGGACTATATACTTTCAATCTATCCGAGTCAAAAGCAGTCCAACTGTATATAAGGTAGCAGTAGCACAACACTAGCAAGCCGCAACCTGTCTTTCGATTTAAAACGCGTTCCATTTCGCTTTTTGGGGAAGTGCTCGTGTGAGCGGGAGGGATGCGGGAAAGTGGGAAGGGAGGAAGGGGGGGGGGGTAGGGGAGGGAGCCGCGAGCCGCACTTTAAGACGCGAAGATCCGCATTGCGGCTCGCGAGCCGTAGCTTGGCCACCCCTGTACTAAAAGGATGTGAAGTACACTTATGGTTCCTGAGCAGTAGTTGCACATCGGTGGGTCTTTGCTTTTTGAAAGGTAGCCACGAGTCAAGTGTGTGTGAACATGATGAAAAAACAGCCTGGGGAGTCACGTGCCCTCGGGGGGGGGGGAAGTCACTTGACCCCCCCCCCCCCGAGGGCACGTGACCTTGGTGGGGTCACGTGGGGGCAAACACGTGCCCCCTCAGAGGTCACGTGACCTCGGGGGGGGGGGGGGGGGGGGGTCACATGACCTTGGGGTGTCACGTGACTCCCCAGGTCACGTGACCAAAATTTTTCCACTAGATTTAGCGGGGAAAGTTTTATGCTAGATTTAGCGGGGAAATTTTTTCCGCCAGATTTAGCGGGGAAATTTTTTCCGCTAGATTTAGCGGGGAAATTTTTTCCGCTAGATTTAGCGGGGAAATTTTTCCGCTAGATTTAGCGGGGAAATTTTTTCCGCTAGATTTAACGGGGAAATTTTTTCCGCTAGATTTAGCGGGGAAATTTTCCGCTACATTTAGCGGGGAAATTTTCCGCTAGATTTAGCGGGGAAATTTACCCATAATGCACAGCGCGGTTACGCCGACGGCGACGGCGACGCCGCTCAAGCCGGAAACGGGCGCCTAAGAGCTGCGCTCTAAAAGCGCGATTAGCAGAACTAAAATATGTTGGCTCTCCTGTATTCAGGACACATACTTCTCTGAGAGCTAAAAAGCGCGCCACAACAGAATCTCGGCTGTCAGTTCCTACACTGCCCCAGAGGGGGTTATGCACATTAAAATCGCCCATTAAAATAAAAGGTTCAGGTAATTGATCGACTAAAGTTTCAAGCTGGGCCAGTTCCAGGGCAAATGAAGGGGGGATGTAAATGGAGCAGATTGGTAACGAGGCGATGCTGTAGCAACCTCACTGCGCCGGCCTCCAGAGCCATGTATAGGGGGACCACACAGGCAGGCGTGCCACTGTGTGCAACGACAGAAACTGCATTGGAAGCACCAGGGGTAGTCACGCGCTACTTCCTGTAGACTTGATAATATGACCTAAAAGAGTTGCTGTCGAGCGGTTTAAAGTAAGTCTCTTGCAGGCAAAATGCAGAGGGTTCATGCCTCTGCAACAAGAGCCTCACGTCGTCTAAATTACAGAAAAGACCTCTGCAGTTCCACTGCATAATGCAGGTCTCAATTTAAAAGAGTGAAGTCTAAAAGCAAAGGAAAGTTTAAAAAGAGACAAGGAAGACATTTACAGGTCTTAAAATCAACCCTCACACGAGGAGCATTTTTCTTTTAAGTGGTACCGTCTGCTCACTGGTGGATCCACCAGCGGCAGGAAGGGAATTCCACTCAGACCCTGACGTGGGCCCGTCCTCGTCGGACTTCAGCTCACCTTGATTCATTGGAACATTGGTGGTTGTCGCCGATGGCTGACCCTTAGATGCCGCTGGCTTGATTGGCCGGAGAGGGTTCCTCTGGGTACCAGAAGGACAAGATGGCATACCCCGTCCCTTGGGGGGCGGGGCAGGACGAGAGGCGAGGGCCGCCAAGCCCTGCTTCTTGCCAGGTCTGGTCACGCCCACATCTTTCCTAGAGCTCGGAGGCGGTGTTTGCCGCACCGGTCCCGAGGTAGAGGGGGACCCCGACGGGACACGCAGGCCATCCGCAGATGTCTGCATCCCAGAGGACAGCATCGGCCGTGCGGGTCTCCCGTGCACGGCCTCTGCATACGGACCACGCAAGGCAAACGAGTCACGCTTTGGGCTGTTACTGCCAGCAAATACAATAAAATGTTACACTGAAATGTTACAAAAACTCTGTTAGGCTCCCGAACTTCCTTGCAACATTCTGGCTCTGCAAGTACAAAAAGGATTGAGATTTTTTTCAATAAAGATAATGTTTAAAAAGAAAAATATGGAAGCGTCAACTTTATGACAGACCTGATTTAACAGACACAAGATGGCTGCTAGGCTCTTCGTCCTGTTCAACATAATCTGATGGTTCTGCAAGTGGAAGCACAGCATACTGAAATTTTAGCCGACGCTGAAACACAATGAAAACAACACTATATGATGCTAAAATGTGGCCTGGCTTGAGACATATGCCTTGCACCAAGATACGAAGGAAGAGGACTAGATAGTACTTATCTTTTTGTGAAACAATTTCTCTCATCCTCAAATATTGTATTGAAAACATTGTACAATCTGTCTGTGCATGCTTTTTTGTTATTATTTCAGAATGAACTGGTATTTACACAATTGTCCCAGTCTTTTTCTTTCTCCGATACGTACATGTCTGAGGTATCCAATAAGGGGTATAAATATGTTAAACATAACATTAACTATTTTTAGACACCCTTTATACTTCCTGCAATAAATAATTTTGGAACTGAACAATTTAAAAGTGTCATAAAAACATAGGCACTTCTTATGAGTTGCGAAAGCGAAAGCAGTAATGTTAAAAGGGCACCTCCACTTAATTTAAAAATATTTGAGATAGTGGCCGATTTTGCTTTTTGAAGCACTCAAAAACAATCCCCAATCTTTTGTTTCGCGAAAAATAAAATATTTTTCGTGTAGTTTTACTCTAGCCATGATTACAAACCGAAACCGAAACGGTGGCAAAGCCGGACAACATTGTATATTCGGCATCACTAAGCATGTACACCCACGTGATATACAAGGGAAGAAGGAGCTCCCTTCTTATCAGGATCCTCCTTTGTGCCTCCTGGATTTCTACAGGCGTCGCTATTCTCCTCCCAGAAGATTATAGAAGATTAAGCTGTCACTCAAAATTCTTACAAAAGCAGCTTCCCTCTCCTCCTTTTACTTGGTGTTCAAAAGTATGGGATGTAACACAAGCCGGCGCTCAACGAGGCGATTGGCTTATCAGTAGTATCAATAGTCGAGCGCCGGGCCGGCCGAGCGCGTCACTCACGTCTTTCACGGCGCTGGCGCCACCCGTGCTCTCCCCAAAAAAGAAAGAAAAAAAAGAAAAAAAAAAAAGAAGAAGAAGCTGTGCATGCTTGATGACGTCGCGGACGTGCCGGGAGAAGGAATTTGGAAGAAGTGGAAATGCAGCCGGGCAGTGTTGTCTGGCCCGCACGTCTCATCCAAAACCAGCGGATTCGTGCTTGTCAAACTTTGACAGCGATTTTAATGAACTTCTAGGCGGAATTCCGTCGTGATATTTGCCATGGGGGTTTTGTAGATGATAACAAAGAGAACTGTATAGTTTTGCACTACTGGAAAAGAAGCGGAGTTGCCCTTTAATGGACCTTTTCCCAGAAGCGTTCTGCGCATGCGCGAGTGCCTGATGCCAAACGGCGGACGTTGGCACGAGAAATCAAGAAAATTCGGAAGGAGGCTGTGGATCAGCGAGTAGAACACGTAATTGTAGCGTATATATAATGGTGTTACACAAAAAAAGAAAGTGGACACAAAGAAAAACACGACGTTTGGGCGGACGCCCACGGATGCCCCTCTTTAAAGGGGTTATGACAAGCCAAAAATAAAATATGCGATAACTATACTGCTAAAACCCATTGTATGTTCCTATACTCTTGCTAAATTTGTTTTGAAAACGGCGCGATAGTTTCGTGGATAAATCGATTTATATGGGGGTCCCTCGGAGGGGCACATCCAGGCGAAGCTGGAGGCTGGCTACGTAGCCAGCCTCTAGCGCGGTGTCTCCTTGCACGCACTCACAGACTTGGCTCTCTTGGCGTCTCAAACCTCAGCTTCCTGGTTTAGACATTTACCTTCCACGCTTCGAGCATGCCGTCCGTGACGATTACGTCTACGGCATCGCTCGCCTTGTAGAAGTGTTCGACAATGATCGCAGCAGCGATGACAGTGGTTGCTATCAAGAGATGTTGGAAGCTGTTCATTTTGACTGCGACTCGCTGGCTACCAGCTCCAGCGACGGCGAGTTACGGACAAACTTGCCGTGGTCACCGTCGTCCGGGAATATGTCGCAGGCGCATGCAGGCCGGGTGAAAGGTTAACGGGCCGGGGGCGAGAGCGAGAATAGCTTTCGGGTTACCGAGTTGCGTGAGCGGTTTTGATCGTACCGTGGTGAGGAAAGCTTGGGCGATCATGAGGGCGCCTAGAATGAGAGAGTGTTCATGGTCACGTGGTTTATGGACACCATGGTGTACGTGACTAACTTGGGCAGTGTTGCCTGGTAGCCAGATCAAAATGATAAAAATTCGTAAATTGAATATTGCAATTACCAGAGCTCTAAAAATTGCGTAACTTGGTGTATATACTAAGTAGCCGATGAGCATTCCATTTCAAGAATAATCTATCCGTTTAATTTTCGTGTCATAACCCCTTTAAGTCGCGTTAAGCGTGCACCGCAGCTCAGAGAGCGAAGAAACTGGTAGCGTAGCTCCCATTATCGACTGGTAGCGCAGGTAGGTCACCTCCTTGATATTTAGTTCAGCAAGCCACCGCCTGGTGCCGTCGGTATGTGGAGAAGGTCCATCGAACGCCACTGAGTATTTCTTCGAGTTTTGCACTGCGAGTAATGTTTTCAAGTTTTGCTCACGTTTCGCTACTGCCGAGGTTGCGGCCTCCAACGATATAGATGCCTCAGGTGCCGCCATGTTCCTCGGCGCCGAGAGGAGCAGAAGTGGTCGCAGCTCCGGGAGGGATTGCAGCGGTGCGCCGAACAGACTGCTCTGGCTCGCTGGTGACTGCAGCGCCGCTGGGTGAGGCCGCGGCAGGGGTCAGCAAAACGCGTGCTGAAATCAGATGTCATCTCATCATCATCAAGGCCCTAGCTGCAGGTACCGATTGACGACATAAGACCTCAAGGTGAAACGTTAGGCCTAACTTTAGGCCTAACACCAGGCCAGTGCATACCTGCGTCTACCCCTCGCATCAAACAGCTGCGCGTACCAGTTAACGACATTAGATCTCAAAGCATAAGCACAGGCCTAACATTAGGCCTAATATAAGGCCAGCGCGCATACCCAGATTCCCCCTCCCCGCTGCGCCACCAACAGTTCGGCTGGCTTCTTAGCATGTTACGATGATGACATTATGATGACGTTACTATGGGTCCACATGACGCGCCGCAACCAATGGGAATTTAGGTGTCGTTTCGTTCAGCCAATGGGAATTTAGGTGACGTTTCGCTCAGCCGATGGGAATTTAGGTGCCTGTTTTCGCGTCTACAGACAACGCTGGCTTCGCTCCATGGGCTTTTGCATTAAAAAATGGATTTACATTATTGTAACCAGAAACAGGAACTGCTAATGGCAACAAGAAATGACTATGATAGGCTACACCAGCGAAATCGACGACACTCAGCAGCTAGAACAAAAAGCTGTGGTGGCAGGTTCGCACACCCTTCTCGAGTGAACCAGATATTCACAGCGCCTGGCAGTCTAAAGATGAAGCCGTGAAAGTATGCTATACTCCGTTTCACCTTCCGTCCGAGCACAGCGGACGCTAGGAGCCATCCCAGCCAATGCGGCGTTGAGGGAGTGTCATGCGACCTTGAGCTCCCTGTGTCGCCCCGACATAGAGATCAGTGGTCGCCCCACCCTACCGGCAGGTCACGCGTTTCTCTCCCGGCGCTGGATCGGCTGGGATGGCTCGTGGCGTCCACTGCGCTCGGACTGAAGGTGAAACGGAGTATAAAAGCATATGGTGAAAATTGGCAATACCATTGTCACCTTGGACTGGAAACAAATGTATTGTTACTCTGAGACGCATTCATTTCACATCTACAGTTTCAGAAGAGCAAAAATTCAAAACAAATCAAAGAGTCCAACAAACAAAACAAGTTAAACAGTAACAGGCTTAAGCTGAGCTAGTTGGTTCATACTTCAGGTAAGGCCAGCTGAACTAGAATAAACATACACGAAGAAAAGACCATACACACCACTGGACTAACAACAGACTTTTCTTTTTCCTCCTCTTCTGTATAATATTTTCTTTGTATGTTTATTCTAGTTCAGCTGGCCTTACTTAAACAAGATAAGAATGTCAAACAAATAAAATATGAAACTGCCTCGAAGTAACCGTAAATTTGCCTGTTCTCGTTCAGTGAAGCTTACGTTACCAGTTGGCTGACTTTGCTAGAGCAACACTTTCCAACCATTTTGCACACAAAGGAAATCACTGAAACCCCAGCCTATCACAAACACTGCACGCATTTCCTAGAGGATAGTTTGTAAAGCACTTCCAATGCACATTAGCTGCGTCATGCTCCAAAGGATGTGGTAACACCACCGAAGTGCTAATGTGACGAAGCAAGTCTTGCAATGCGACGAAGCATGCACCTGCATTCAGCAACATCTGCCTCAGCTTCAGTAGACTGCAAAGCACTTGCTAGATGTTTACATTTTACATCCCTACACTTCTTTCGGTTGAAGTTGAAAAGAGCGTCGTTCGGCCCCTTCTGTGTAATGCTAAGAACTGACGACACAGAATTCGCGTTGCGCAAACGATGTCGCTACACCCTTAAACGACGACATGAGCCATTGCTAGGCGACTGGCAAGCAGATGGACACACGGACAGAGGACACACTTGTGAAGTTTAGTTTTTTTGGAATGGGAGGTATTCATATGGCGTTCGTCCCACATTTTGTTGCTAGATGTCAGTGTGATCAGCTTATAAGCGTAACGTAAGCTACGGATTCGAAGGTGTCATGCCAATCCTTGCAATGCTCGATTTCAGTGTGCGTCAGACAGCTCGGAACAGGAAACTTTTCTCGAGAGGACCACCGACTACGAAGCAGCCAATGAGAGAAGAGGGTCCATACCATTGGCGTTCCCCTCCGTTTCCTTATCGGATCTCCTCAAGGCTATCTGGAACAGATCTAGGCCAAAAAGTCCTGGAAAAAAAAAAGTGAAAGCCATTTACAACTCCCTGTAACACCGAATTAGAGCGCAGCTCTTGAGGAGGAGGAGGGAAGGGTACTGGGGGGTGAAGTGACCTGGGGGGGAGGGGTCACGTGACGATGCCGATGATGTCATCAGTGACGTCACTGATGACGTCATCCGTGATGATGGCGATGCGGATGCCGGTGACGTCATCAGTGACGTCACTGATGACTTCATCAGTGATGATGACGATGACGATGCGGATGCCGGTGAGGTCATCAGTGACGTCACTGATGACGTCATCAGTGACGATGACGATGCGGACTCCGATGACGTCATCAGCGATGATGACGATGACGATGCGGATGCCGGTGACGTCATCAGTGACGTAACTGATGACGTCATCAGTGATGATGACGATGACGATGTGGATGCCGGTGACGTCATCAGTGACGTGCGTCACTGATGACGTACGTCACGCACAGGGGAGGTCACGTGACTTCGGCGGGGGGTCACGTGACTTTGTGTGTCACGTGACCTTGGGGGTCACGTCACCCTGGGGGAGGGGTCATGTGACCTTGGGGGCCAAGTGACCTTGGGGGGTCGCGTGACCTAGGGGTAACCTTGGTTACGCCGACGGCGACGCCAACGCCGCTCAAGCCGGGAACGGGCCCCTAAGAGCTGCGCTCTAATAAATAAAAAATTTAAAATGACTACACAGTGTGCCGCAAACAGTGGCAGCTGTCGTGTTGTCGAGGCATGTGCTTTAGAAGACATACCTTTAGCTGATGTGCTTTAGGGTATTCGCTTTTAGTAGTATAGTCATAGGAGACGTGCGTTTGCAGAATGATTTCACGCGATGTGCTTTTGAAGAGAAAATAACACTGAGATGCGCTTCTAAAATTCGGTGGTTGCCACAGCAGAAGGAACATGTGGGAACCGCCGCATCCGACACTTCGTATCCGCCTCGTGCTCCCGCAACTTGTCGTCTGCGACCCGCCGTCGACGGTTTCTCTTTGCCTCTTTCTCGCAAACAAGGGCGTCTTGACGCCACTTGCTTTAACGCGCTGCCGCTCGTGCGCGATATTCGAGGTCCCGCTCCCTTTTCTCTTCTCGCACCGTTACGCCGCTCCGTCTACTCTGCCCAGTGCAGCACGCTTGCTATTCCCGATCCTTGGACGAAGAGCGAATCCTGCGTGCTCCGGCTTAGAGTCACTAAATGTTCCCAGGGCACTGAAACTCTTACTTGAAACACCAAAATGGCACCTCAATTTTTTTTTTTTTTTTTTTTACTGTGGTCACCATGAGCATTCAGAAAGCATGTTTTTGCGTAAAAACAAACAGAAAAAGCTTTTTTGTAGAAACTTTTATTGGAGATTAGTACAGAATGACAGGAGTGTGATGTTGTCATAAACTTTTAGTTTACAAGGCTATTTGGCACAATTAATATTGTTTTTATACAACCATGTCTCACCGTTGAGGTAGTGCGTCCCGACAAGGCACGTTCTAATTTCAGTGATATTTCGCAGTGCGTCCACTTGGGAGACGGGGGTCGGCGGCCGTGAAGCCCATTTCACCGTATATGTTTCAGCGCCAAAATGGCCGATCAGAGCTAAAATTGAACAGTAACAGTGGACTATCGAACGCGTTGCTCTGGTAACGTAGTGACTCTAGTCTGGCCATGTATGGGGAGGGGGAGAACTGATTGATTGTTGATCAGGGCTGCACCTTTTCTTCGTAGGCACGTCGGAGAACCTTCCAGAACACCAAAATGGAAGTGAGTGCGGTTTCCGAGCTACTTCTGTGTGGGGGGTGTTTGAGCTTTGCAGAACTCCTCTTACATCCTCCCTGTTGTATCCGTATGTCTATCAAAGTCTTCCAAATGCGCATTCATGTCCCCCAACATAATTATTTCCCTGTTAGTGGCAATTTCCATATTGTCTCCTGATATACATGTTAAGTGCTCTGCATTTTCCTCCCCTGCATCACTCCGTGTTCTTAAGGTACACATAACCCAGGATTTTGTCCAAACAGTCAATACTGCCTTTGATTTACACGTGTTCCCTGCAGCCCTCTCGTTCCCTTTCCTGTTTCTAACCCTTCACTAACACTCCTAATCTCCCTCCCTTGCGTTCCCCATTGGCTCGGTTGCATCCCATCCAATGATAGCCCTGTATGTATGGTGGTTCTTCCATATCCCTCAGATGTGTTTCTGCTAATCCACATACCGCAATGTTTTCGCTTTCTAATTGCTCCTCGATCTCCTCCCACTTTATTCTGTTCCTGCCCCCCTGCATGTTTATGAACACCATGTTAAGCTGTTTCTTTTTCCTATTCCTTCCCAAGGCTTCCTACCACCCTTCCAAACCTTCTCGGCTGGATCTACATTTCGGCCCTCATTTACAGTAGTTCCACTGTAGTGGATGCCCCTTGTAAAAGGGTCGAAGCGAGCCTCGTACACCCCCCTGTTAACTTCCATTACTTGATACTCAAATCGTCGGCTCATACCCCTTATCACCCGGTTAGCCTCCACCACCCGCGTCTCTATCTGCAAAGACTGTCCCCAGACCCCTGGGATGGTGCATATTTGCACATGCACAGTCTAGTAGACCTCCCTCAGCTTAGGTAACCCAACTCTATCTGCCTGCCGAGGTTCTGGCTCCGTCCCTTTAACACATCCTTTAGTCCTGCATGTACTACCACTAGGTTCTCTCCCTCCCTGTTTTCCCACACCTCCTACTTCACTTTGGCCATAGCATCTACCATGCACTTTCCTGACTGGGCCACTACGGTTACCCTCCCATCCCCTTGCACCCTGTCCAGCAGCCCCTATTTAAACCTTGTTATGTTTGAGTCTCCTACCATCAGCACCACCTTAACCCCCGACTGCCTGTCTTCACCCCCTCCAGCTATCTGTGCTTTCTCTGCCTCAACCTCTGCTTCCTTCCTCGGACCCTGCTGTACTGCAGCACTATAGAGCTGTGCAGCCTCCTTTCTTGCACTGCCAACCAACTCGTCACCAGCGAACTGTCCCCCTGGGTCTGCCGCCCCTACCGCCGTCTTCTCTGCCACCTCCTCCTTTTCCTTGTTAACTACGCCTGTCAGTTGCTGCACCATATCCTCACACTTCTTCTTATATGCTGCTCCAACTCAACCTTCCACTCTTCCTCCTGTCTAAGCTCCTCTACCTGTCGCTCAAGCTCGGCTCGCTGCTCCCGTTCTTGCCCAAGTTCTCCCGCCACGCTCTCTACCTTACTTTCCCATTCCCTGGTCATTTCCTCCACATCCACTTCGGCCTTCTTAATCAGCTTAACCTGCACCTCAAGCTGATCCCGCTTCTCCCGCTCTACCCATATTTCCCGCGTCAACTCGTCAACCATAGCCGCCTATTCCCCTCCTTTTCTCCTAAAACCATCTTCGACCTTCTTGTAACTCCACCATGTAAAGCTGCTCCCCTCGGCTTCTGCTACTTTTGAACTCCGTCTCCAGAATGGAGCACCAACACCCACACTCCTCAGACTCTACATCGGATTTGTGTCTTTCTTTTACTTTAGACTTATCCTTCTTCCGTCGCGTATTCACCATTGCCTACCGACACACAGCGCAAGCCCCCGAAAAATATCTTACCAAAACTCAAAGCAAGAAAACCTGGGTACGCCTCTACCCACACAACCAACTAGCCTGCCAAAAGTTTCAAATGTGTGCGTGCTTCGGTCTCGTGACCCTATCCAAAAAGTCTACTTTAACCCAACTATCCTACCACTACTTTACAAACTGTTTTCTACTACCCCATAAACACACACGCAACCAAAAATCACTTAGCTTCGCAGGAGCTCCAGAAAAGTTATCGTCACTACCTGTCAAGGTTTTTAGGCGGGCATTACAAACGAGGCTTTAGCGACATCCACGAGGTCCCAGGCGAAAATTTCTAACTGGGACCAGTTGGCACCTCAACTGGTTTCAACTGGGACTAACTGGTCCCAACTGGGAAGCAACTGGGACTAACTGGTCCCAACTGGGAATCAACTGGGACCAATGGGAGTCCAACTGGGGCCAGCTGAGGGGTCAACTGGTTTGAACCATTCCCAGTTGGGAGTCAACTGGTTTGAACCATTCCCAGTTGGGAGTGAACTGGTTTCACTCCCAGTTGGGAATGGAGTGCACTGGAACCAGTTAGGAAAGTAACTGGTTGGAGCGATTCCCAGTCGAGCTTCAAATGCCTTTCCCATTCCCAGTTAACATTGGGCAACAATTTGGACAAGTTGGGGGTGTATTGACCTTTGCTAATGAAGAAAACTAAAAACACTAACATTTTTAGATTTATACAAATAGGGAATTTTTAATTACTGGGGTACATTTATATATTTATAAAAATAATATAAAAATTTTAATTAACTAAATATTTTTTTAATTGGAAAATATAATTAGTGACAAAATGTGTTCACCTAAATGAACATTTAGTGCATTATTAAAATATATTAAAACATTTATTTAAATAGCAACAGTATTTTTTTTCTTTTAATAAATAAATTTATCTTTTGACTAATCAGAGCTAGCCGGCCGCCGTGGCACGCGGGTGCGGATTAGTGGTACGCGCTGTCGACAGATGGCGCTGCCTATGCTGACGCCGGAGTCGGACGGACGCGGTAGGGAAGGGTCGCCATCGCCCAAGTTGGCGTCGTTATGAAAATGTCAAAACTACAGCTGCGCTTCTTTGGACCTAACCGTACACACGCCATGGTGGCGGCGGTGAACTTCGAGGATGGAACGATGCAGTTCAGCGATCGGAGGGCACCCAGGAAAGACCGGACGGAAGAGAACACGCCGCGGAGAGCACAATGGCGAAAATGGCGGGAGGTCTACCTCGAAAATGTTCGACTGTTGTGACAGAGATTGCAAGGTGGGAGCGCTACCGCATCTTATCAGGACTTCACCTGCGCAACGCAGGATCACGGGTGAGCACCTTTCTTCACGCGATGGGAAGAGAAGCTGAGGACGTCTTCACTAACAGA